CATAATTCATATATAAAATGCAAATGAAAGTTTTACAAAATAAAATACATCCTTACTATGTGATGCGTTCAGATATTTTCTATTTTATTTTATTCTCTAAACTACTCTACTCCTTTAATCAAAAACAAACAAAAAACCCACTAAATTGGTTTTGCAGCTCCCTAGTAGACTGACTGTTACCTGCACTTCAAAAAACACTGGCTTCTACTAATGAGAATTTACTCAAGTATTGTCAGAGAGAGGTGAACTCAAGAATATCATCGAGTCAGTATGGTGAAAGGGGAAATGACTCTTTTAAAGACAGCCAATCCTTTCTCATTTTTGTGTGTCTTAGATTATATATTTATCATTTGCCCACACATACGACACCCCTCACGCAACATTCATTTGCTAACATTGGGATGTTTCAAACTTGGGCTGCTTCAACGCACTGCTGAAAAGGCTGGGGTTTTTATTTAGAATTTTGAAAAACTGACATCCCGCGGTAGTTTGTAAGTCACAGAAAATAAATCAAGCATTTTTTTTTTAATTTCAAGATCTAGTTTCTTTTGATGATACAAGTAGGGTAAAAGGTCATGGGAGTTCAATTAATTTACTTTAAAATGTTCCTTTTAAATGATGCCCAAGGAATAAATCACCAAAGATTAATCTGGAAAAACCGAGTCTCTCCCTCTTGTTTGGGATGTCTTAAGATCTGAGAACAGCTGGCCCCATCTCTGTTCTCTCTTCTCCTGATTCATCTTGCCCGTGATCCCAGGGAGAGGTCACCCTGGGGCCCTAAATAATATGAGCCTGCACACAGAGACTGCCACTTTCTCCCTGCAACTACCTTACCCTTAAGAACCCTGCCAAGCTCAGCAAAGGCTTTAAAGGAACTGGGCTTTGTACCCAGATCTGCTTTTCACCCACTGTGCCTGGCTCTTCACACATCCATGATCATTTATATTTTTACAGTAACACCTTGGTGTGTCCAAGGTTCCTGAGCATCTGTTAGGAATAAAACATGGTGCAAGGCTACAGGGAACCCCACATGGATAAGCCATGATGCCTATTCTTAAGTGACTTGGAATCGAACACAGGGCCTAATCCTGCAAACAGCTATCTAAACAGAAATTTAATAGTGGAAGTTTCCAAGAAGGGATGTTCGCTAACATTTGGGGAGTGCCAAGAGCCAGATACGGAGTTAGGCCATTTATTTAAACTACCCTCATCAAAAAGCTATACCTCTTTTGCAGTATTATCATCTCTGTTTTGCAGATGAGGAAACTGAGGCTCAGAGAATCCTAGTAACTTTTCCAGTGGCACATGATTAGTAAGCAGTGAAGCCCAAGGGCAGAGATCCTTTAGATTCCAACGTTTAGTGTTTTCTCTGGCATTTTCTCTGAGTCCACAGGCAAAAGAGAATTTTACCCAGAGGAAAGGAAGGCATATTTGAAATGTGCTTTGAAAAAGAAAGATGTGTTTCCCAGTGATAGGGGGCAGTGCGGGGTGCTGGGTACAGAAGGCAAGGCTTCAATGAGTTTTGCAGGCTGGCAAGGGCAGGTTGGGTTCAGGGGATGCTAAACAGTGCAGGTTGGTTGCTATGTGAGGTGTGAGAGACCTCACAAAAGAAAGCAAATCTAGAAAAGTTGCTAAATTCAATTCCCCCAGTTTTTATACTCCAGTAGACATTGCCAAAGGAGGAAGGGCCTTCTGCAGCTTAACTGTTTAGATTGTAAGTCAGGGGGCTGGGGGGCATACTGGAAGGGCCATACAGAACAGGAACCTGATGTTGTATTCCTTCACAATGCTCAGAACAAGAGCTCGGTGCTTTGCAGCTAGGAGGTAAACTGTACTTTACCTCACATGAATGAACGACAGACAAACAAAGGAGGTTTTCCTGCTCTCTCTTGCCATGTTGTTTAAGAGGTGGGTCAGGGTGGGGTGCCTGAGTGGCTCAATCGGCTAAGCATTGGACTTCAGCTCAGGTCATGATCTCATGGTTTGTGAGTTCGAGCCCCACGTTGGGCTCTGTGCTGACAGCTCAGAGCCTGGAGCCTGCCTCAGATTCTGTGTCTCCGTCTCTCTCTGCCTCTCCCCCGCTCACACTCTGTCTCTGAAAAATAAAGAAACATTTAAAAAAAAAAAAAAAGAAAGAGAAGAAATGGGTCAGGGTGTGCTGTTGGACAATGGGGACAGGGACAGGGACTGACAGAGCAGAACTCAGGGCAAGCTTGACTCGTCCCTCTATACCAGCCTCCAGGTGAGTGAGCTAAACAATATGGCCTTTCACTGCTTCTCTGGTTTGGCAGAAGTGATGTGCTGGAGGGCAGAAAGTATTCAAGAGAGAACAGACAGAAGGTAGAAGAGGCAAACGTCCTACAGGATTGGCAGTAGGATCTCCATAGCCAATAACCCCCTGGCTCATGCTACCATACCTCTGAGCCACATTTTTTTTACACAACAGCCTGGTATTTTCCTTTGGATGAAGGAAGAAAGAAACCTAAAATTCTGGCTGTGGGTTACTTTCTGCCTTGTGGGTTAGGTGACAAGGAGGTGACACTGGTGTGGAAATTTAGCCGCATGGTGCACCACAGTTGGGAAGCAGCTTTGTGCCAAAGCTCGGTTTCAAAGACTTTGCAAGTTGTTAATATATAAATTCCAAGCAGGAAGAGGCTCCAATGTGTGGCAGAACAGTTTTGCAAGTTTAGTTGGCTCGGCTTTACAGCCAGATAAAAATGGGCCCCCTTGAAGCCACAGTCACAACCTGAGCAAGTGAAGCCCAAACTGTGAGGGCAGTGAGGCGAAAAGGGACACAAAGGGGACACAAGAGATGGAGGGAACGTCAAACTTAGAGATACACCTGCTTCTGATACGGTGAAGGCCCTGAATGCTTAATAAATGGTCATGGTAATGGCAGTAGCAGGAGTTACAGTCACATTAAACAGGAAGTTGCTGGTGCCAGTTTCTGTTAATAATGCTCAGTGACACCTTCCATTGGCCTTTATCTGCCAATCACGATGCAGGATGAAGGCATGCTGGCTACATTTAAGGTAGCAGAGGTTAGGGGGAAAATCTCAGAGATTTTCACGCTAGTGTTACCCAATAATTAGAAACACAGATATCGGATGCCGTGGCCTTGGACGAGTGTCACAAGGTTTGTGACTCTGATCTCATGAATAGGATGACTCCAGGTGCACCACAGTAAGTATTCTGGGTTTAATCCTGCAGCGATGTCCTTTTAAGAAGTATTACAATCTGGGGGCACCTGGGTGGCTCAGTCAGTTAAGCATCTGACTTCAGCCCAAGTCATGATCTTGTGGTTTGTGAGCTGGTGCCCTGCCTCGGGTGAACTGAGCCCAGCTTGGGGTGATCCCGGCTTCTCTCTCTCTCTCTCTCTCTCTCTCTCTCTCTCTCTGCCTTTTGCTCACTTGTGCCCTCTCTCTCTCTCTCAAAAAAGAAAAGGCACAGTAAATCTGGAAGAGCATGGTAATAGCCAGTATAGGACCCTTGTGTTGAGTTACCATGTAGCCGAAACTGTCACATGCTCACCTGCAGAGAAGTAAAATGTCAATTTCAACTTGCAGTGAGGGAAAACGTTCAGTTCGTAAAAGTCACATAGGGTCTTCCAAGGTTGTTAAGGTGAACGTATATTACTTTATTAAGATACAGCGCCGTATTAATTGACACATTTGTTCATAAAGCAGGAGATATTTTCATTTACATCAAAACAATGAAACTAACATTAAAAACTGTTTTGAAATCAAAAGAATCCAGTGTCAGAGGCTAAGTGCACCCATGTGGTCCATAAACACTTATGCCCTTTCTATCTTCTCCTTTTCTCATGTCATCTTCAAGATGATGTTGATCTTTAAGCTGTAGACCTACACTAAACTCTGGGGAACACAGCACAACAGTCTCCCCCTTCCCCCCCTCCCCGCCCCCCCCTTTGTCTGTCTCTTTCTCCCTCTACCTGACATCATAACTACACACACAAATGCATTCCCAGGCGTAGTCAAATTAAACATAACAAGAAAGCAGATTTCTCGAAAAGTCTAAATTCTAAGATGAAGAATTTGATATGCTTCCAACTTAGGTCCATAGGAAAAGGTTTGAGTTCTTTCAATTTTGTTTTGCTTCTGGACAGGGAAAGTTCAGGATATTTATTATATGTTGGATGAAACTCACTGTTACTCACTTGCAAATCTAGTAACACTAGATTGAGGCATTTGCTGAAACTCTTTCTGCCATCAGTAACCTGCCACCAGTAACAAAATCTTCACCAGTCTGTCCTAGGCTATATTTAAGTGAAGAAATGTTACAGCTACAAAGGGATGATCTTGTGACTTCTGTAAAAATAAAATGAGGTGACGGACCCCTGGGTGGCTCAGTGGGTGAAGCATCCGACTCTTGACCTCGGCTCAGGTCGTGAACTTCCAGTTCATGGGATTGAGCCCTGCCTCAGGCCCTGTGCTGACAGTGCGGAGCCTGCTTGGGATTCTCTCTCTCCCCCTCTCTCTGCCCCTCCCCTGCTCTCTCTCTCTCTCACACATTAAATAAACATTTAAAAATAAATAAAACGAGATGGAATTTTTCTCTCGTAAGCTGAGCTGATGCCAAGCTGCAATGCCTGGTTTCTGGACTGTGGTTTGTAGGACATGTTATCTTAACAGAAGGCCAGTAAATGTAGACACAGAGGATGCTATTTGAAGTCTTTGTAGTGTCTAAACTTTGAAAGGGATGCTCTTCTGGATGAATTGGTTGATCTGCCTTGCTTCACAGGTAAGGAAACTCCAGCCTCAAATACTATTTTTTTTTGAGACAGAGAGAAAGAGAGAGCATACACTCGAGTTGGGGAAAGGCAGAAGGAGAGAGAGAGACAGAATCTTAAGCAGACTCGACACTCAGCGAGGAGCCTGATGCGGGGCTCGATCCCACAACCCTGGGAACATGACCTTATGTCACCATGATGCAGAAAAACAAAGTAAAATTTGTCACTGTGAAATAATGGAACTCTCGTCTGAAAAAGGTAAAGACGTTTGCAATAGAGTAGATACACTTTGCTGTGTCAGGCATCAGGCACCATGCTTGTGGGAGCTTCTCCGATTGTGTCAGAGTCCCTTCTGCACCCATTCCCACCTCTGCCCTCAGGTGCTTCTCGTCCTCTCCTCTGCAGTGGCGTCTCCTAGTTCTTTATTTACTCATGCGTGGTTTCGTAGGCTATATTTGTAAGCTTATTTTCTTTACCACCTGTTAAAGTCATCAAGAACATAATAGTTTAAAAAATAAATTTGTTAAATGAATAGTGAATAAAGAATATATATATATATAAATTTATTTTTCTATGTCAAAACAACAAGGATAATAGTCCAGTCTAAATACTATGCTATAATATGTGTTAAATGCTTCATATAGGGCACTTAACCTTGTCAAGTTATATAGTAGTAGCTCGATGATATCTATTGAATGCCTACTCAGTCTTCTGTCGAAAAGTGTTATCTTTCCACATGCTAATGATTTCACTTTTAGTATTCATTGATTAAGAAGACATAAATGGATGGATGGATTTTCAGATGCTGACCTTACAACTCCACAATCTCCCAAGGGTCCCTAGCCCATGGGTTGGAGATCTCACGAACTTTAGATTGTTCCAACATCTAGAATGAGACTTACGATCCGTTGTGAGAGTCACTACAATGGAGCAAAGCACTCGCAAACATGAGCAAAGGCAAAGGTCTGAGAGCTAGAGAGAAAGAGACAGGAGAGGAACAAACAGCAGATCTCCATTCCTTTTTTGTCTTACTGAAAAGTTTAAGGGCAGAGTAGCTTCACGCAAGGCTGGATCCAGGAACTAAAAAAATACAAAATAAAAAGTCACCAAGACTCAGTTTTTCCCTACCTCTGGTTTTCTCTGAAGAACTATTGTCAATCAGGCTCTCTCCTCATGATGTAAAGAAGGTTAGCTGAAGCTCAATATAATAACTACTGCAGAAAGTGAGGGTCTTTTCCCCAGTGGTTCCCACAAAATCTCATGAGTGGCAGCAGGTGTATATGTTCTAAATCTGATCCACTCACTGCGGCCAAGAGGATACAATGTGTGGATGGACAGGCATGGTTTACACGTGGGATGACGAGCCATTCGGTTTTGCTTGAGACTGTGTTGGCTTTACAGTTGCAAGTCCTGTGTCCCAGAAAACCCTTGGGTAAATCAGGATGGTTGGTCACCCAGCTTTCATACAGGGGACTGAGGATGGGATTATTTCTGAGCTACAGGGGTTGAGAACGTGCATAATGGCAGGGAAAACGTTGCCTACACCCACATGTGAACTCTAGCTCTGTGCTAAATACAGCGGTTACAAGTGCACATTGTTGGCCTGAAATGCAGTAATCTACATCATAGTCAAAAGTAGGTCTGAAATGGGGCGCCTGGGGGGGCTCATTCGGTTAAGTGTCCGACTTCGGCTCAGGTCATGATCTCACTGCTTGCGGGTTCTAGCCCTGTGTCAGGCTCTGTGCTGACAGCTCAGAGCCTGGAGCCTGCTTCAGAGTCTGTGTCTCCCTCTTTCCCTGCCCCTCCCCAGCTTGTGCTCTTTCTCTCTCAAAAATAAATAAACATTAAAAAAAGTTAAAAAAAACAAGTAGGTCTGAACTGAGATGCCCATTAAGTTAAAATGCACACTGGATTTTAGAAACCTGCTATGAAAAAAATAACGTAAGTTATCTCATTAGTAATTCCGCTAATTAATAATATTAATTGACTTGCTGAAATGGCAAGGCTTTAGATATGTTGAGTTAAATGAACTATACTATTCTTTTCACTTTTTTAATGTGCCTATTAGAAAATTTAAAACTCACATTGTGTTTCTGCTGCACAGCACAGCTATAAGATTTTTAACAAGGTAATAATGTAATTATGTCGTGTGTAGGTGGGGACATGTTTAAAAAGATGCCTTGAATGTATGGGCATCTTAAATAGCAAATGATAAATTAGAGAACATCAGGCCCACAAACAATGGGAGATAAAAATACCAAAGTCAAGACCAAATTTATTCACTCACCTCTTCCTGTCCTCATCTGTGCCAGGATCAGCCTTAAGTCCTGGGACTTCCAAATGTCCTTCAAGAGCGCAGAGACCAGAAGGGAAAAGACTGGCAAAAAAAGAAAATTGTAATGCAAATAATGTTGTCAGTAATATGATAAACTCTCATGCCCCTGGTCTGTATTGATTTAATTAATTCTATCATCCAAGTAAGTTTTGTTTATTCAATACATACTGAGCCTTTCCTCTTTTTATTTCATGCCAAGTTCCTTGAGACTAGGAATCGTGTACTACTAAGCTGCATTGCTTACTAACCAATTGCTGTGGTTTCAGAGCTCCCTTTTTACATCATGATCAAATGTTTCTTCATCCCTTAGTCACTCTGACCAGAAGCAGGTGAACCCCAGGAAAGCTGATGGGCTTAGGTTCTAAATATCACCAATGTTCCTCACCAGCTCCCTTACCTAAGGAAAGTGGTTAACCACTCTGTGCCTCATTTTCCACCAACAGCACTGAGAAACAAGATCCTAGGTGACTCTTCCAACACACACACACACACACACACACACACACACACACACACGTCTTTGCTCGCAATTTAGCTTATTATTGTCAATCATCTGAAAAAAGCAAATGCTTACAAACCCTCCAACTTACTGTCATTGGATTCCTTCGATATAACTATTTTCAGTCACGGGGAGGGTTCTGCATACTAGCGACTGGGTTCCCTCTAAACATCCTTGAGAATGTTTATTTGAAAAGATTACCTTGTTTTCCTTCAGGATTAAGTCATGGTCACCGCAGAGAGAGATGATTTGGAAAAATGACAAACAGTTTTTGATCGTTCCTCAAAGGCTGCCCTTGTTAAATGAATATGCCCACAGAAAAACAAAATGTATTCTAGCCCACACACGTTAGAGGCATTTTTCAAACACCTAGATTAGAGCAGATAGGTATTACAAATAACATATTTGTTGCATAGAGTGAAGAAATCACAAACTTGCTTGGATAAACACTATTAAATGCATACTTACCCAGTGGATTGCGACAGTTCCCCTCTGGCCCTCACTGACGAGCTTGACTCCAGCTGTAAATTTGCTTGCAAAACTTCCTTGTCAGAGAACTCGCCCTGTTAGGAGGACTCAACCCTGGCTTCGAATCTGCAAGGACAGAAAAATCGAAGTGACAGAAAAGCGGTTGCTTGTGTCAGGCCTAACTAAGGAGAGAAAAGGCTTTAAATTAATCATGATTTAGGGATGCTAGTGAGGCGGTACAAAGGAGCATTCCTCTGGAGTCTCTGAGAAAAGGGGGGGAAAAAAAGAGCCTGGAGCGCTCTGGTTATGCTACCCGCGGATCCTGCCCTTCTGTTATAAACAGAATTCAGTGTTTATGGTGGGAGTTGATCTTGTGTAAGCAGATAAAAATGCATCAAAATCTACCAGCTGTTGGTTTAAGCGGTTATGCACAGAATCTCTCCACGTATAGGGCAAAGGTAAATGAAAAGTTTCATCTTCTCTCCTAGAACCTGTGAACTGTGTTCCGTAAGCTGGGAGGATTTTAGATTATATATTAAATTTTGATTCCCCACAAAAGCAAAAGCTGGTCTGAGCTTCCTTTCTGGAGAGAGGTTGAGCATCACCCTCTGGATGTGCCTTTGTTCATTCCTCACCTACCTTGTACAATCAGAGCATCTAAATATGAAGAAGAGGGGCACCTGGGTGGCTCAGTAGGTTACACGTACGGCTTCGGCTCAGGTCACGATCTCACAGTTTGTGGGTAGGAGCAGCACGTTGGGCTCCGTGCTGACAGCTCAGAGCCTGGAGCCTGAGTGGGATTCTGTGTCTCCCTGTCTCTCTGCTCCTCCCCCGCTCATGCTCTGTCTCTGTCTCTCTCTCTCTCGCTCTCTGAAAACTGAAGATTAAAAAATGTTTAAATATGAAAAAGTAATTTGTGTGTGGCTTATAGTCAGTGTCTTACAAAGCTGTCACGAAAGACCTACTAAGGTTCTGCTCAACTGCCACCATCAGATGGCACCTGTGAGGCAGCAAACCTAATGCCACCTCGTCCGTCAATCTCTGTTGGCTAAACAAGGCCGCTTCAATTAAGAGATGTCTGCCTCCATTACAGTTTGGGTAGTTGAGTCTGCATCGGAGAGAAAGACATCCTGGTCAACTGACTTCAGACTGACTTTGTTCCTGCACCAGGCATCACACCCTGTTAGCCCAACAAACATCAGCCATTCCAGGCTAAATTAGGAAAAATGCACCCCCCTCTAATGAGCTGCTAACCACGGGGGTGGGTGAACATGGGATTCAGTGATGGAGAAGGACAACATCCAGGGTTGAGACATGTCCAGAGATAGAAGGGAACTTGGTCTTTCATCCTTAGGCTAAACCTTCGTCTGGCATCAGAGGCCAGGTCAGTGAACCAGATTCATTTGTTTCCACGGCCATCTCCAACAGGACCAGGATTTTGCAGGCCTTTAGAAAATCACTGGCCTGGGCCATTTGGCCACAGTTGCTTGTCATGATGATACAGCGCTTCTTCCTCAGTTCTTTACTCTGTAAATAGAGAGACACCCCCTAAAGACGCAACAGCAAAAGACCCTACTTAAAAAAAAAAATAGTCCTTTGAGGGGTGTCTGGGTGGCTCAGTCAGTTAAGCGTCTGACTCCATCACGGTTCATGGGATCGAGCCCTGCGTCGTGCACTGCACAGACAACGTGGAGCCTTCTCAGAATTCTACCTTCCTCTCTCTCTGCCCCTACCCCACTCATTCTCATATTCTATCTCTCTCTCTCTCTCTCTCTCTCTGTCTCTCAAAATAAATAAGCTAAAAAAAAATTAATGTTCTTTGAAAATAAATAAATAAATAAATAAATATTAAAATAAAAGTAAACAATGTTCCTTTAGCTTCATTTTATAGTGACATCTCTGTCATCATAAAACAGCCCTGGGGCACAAGAAGTTCCACCAAACGCTATACAACAGAAAGGTGTAGAAGCTGTTCCTGCCCCTCAAGGGCTCACAGTAGAAAGCACAGAGCACTTCATCTATGCAGATGTAACCAGTACCTATAAACAACAGAATACAAATGCCGAATCCACGAAGCGAAAAATAGAAAATACAAGAGTCTACAGAAAACAAAGTTGTAGGGATGAATAATGTAAGTAAATAGATTTATTATACGTTTTCTTTTTCATTCGTGACATTTTGAAGTGTAATCCAGGATAAGGAAAAGAAAATCTCTGTGCAACTCTGCTGCCTCTTACCTTCAGTGGTCCTGAAACCAAAACGGAGACACGGCCAGGTAACTAACACGTGGCCACTTTCACAACAGACTCTTTTGAGCCGCACTGTGTATTAAGCCGTTCTCAAAAACAAAACCGTTCTATTTCTTTCCACAGAGGAGACTTACAGATATCAGTTCAGTCTTCTTTGAAAATCAAGAACAGTCTTCATCTGCACCAAGGGACCTTACTAGGAAAGGTTGTGGGCACTCCCTCGGTAGAGATCTTTACAAACAGGATAACCTTTCACCTGTTTTGTGTGACTTTCCCTAAACGCAGATAATAGGCAAAGAAATCCCTTCAAGACCCTCTTTAGTTCTCTCATTCAGGGGTTATTTTCCAGTCATTCCATCCATTTGCCTTTTCTGTATCTTGCAGTCAACTCTTGAGAAAAGACGATCAGAGAAGGTGAAGCCAATAGGGTCAGAGTGCCTGATAGGATAGTGACATTCGAACAGTTAATAAATATGCAACCCTTTCTGTATTCCAAGAGCTACTTAGTACTCTACTTGAGTTAGTCCAAAGGAGGCAAAAAATGTTTCAATCTTCCTGTCTAGACCAAATCAGTAGCCAACTTTATAAAGAACCTTCCACGAGCCAAGTCCTATCCTGAGCATTTTACATGAATGATCATAATCTAACAGCAACTCTGTGAAATAGGTATTTTATTATTCCCATTTTACAGAGGACACAACAGAGTCTTGGAAAGATGGTCTCGCACAAACTAACAAGACGGGGAGACGGATTGGTACACAAATTGATTCTTTTAGAGTTCTGGAGGTCAGAAATGTGAAATCAGTCTCAGTGAGCTAAAATCAAAGGGTCATCTGGGCTGGCTCCTTCTGGAGGCTCCAGGGGAGAATCTGTTTCTTTGTCTTTTCCAGGAAGGATGTTGTCCTCATTCCTTGGCTCATGGCCCTGCATCACATAATCTTTTCTCTTCTTATCCTGCATCACATTGCCTTCTCCTTTTCTTTATCAAATTGCTCTCTGCTTCCCACCTAAGAGGACAGTTGTGATTACATTTAGATTCTATTCTACCCAGAAAATCCAGGATCATCTCCCGATCTCAAGATCCTCAACTTAATTACATCTGAAAAATCACTTTTACCATATAAAGTGGCACGTGTAGATTCCAGGAATTAGGACCTGGATATCTCTGGGGGCCGTTATCTAGCCTGCCACGAATCAAACTATCTTCCACTTCCTTAAACACTATGGTACCTTCTTCCCAGATGAGTAATTCTTAACAAGCTGAGTGACTGATGTTCAGCAAGTGAATGGGTATCTCCTGAAAACTAAAAAGGTTAAATTAAGTCATTTTTATGGACGGTAGCACAATATAGTGGCAAAGACCTGGACTTGCAATCAGGAAATGGAGTTCTTCTCATTAATTACACACGCAAACTTGGACGAAGCCCCGCATCTCTTAGAATCAGGGATCGTCAAGGGGTCTCAACATGTGCCAGCTCTGATCAAATCTCTTCAGGCTTCATGGGAAAGGGTGAACCCAGCTATCACAGTGCCTGCCTTGCTTAATCACTGGAGTCCCTTTTAACTCTGACTTTACATGATCAGTGATGTATGAATTATCAATTGCTGCCTAAAGAATCATCTTAAAGTTCAGTGGCTTACAACCACAAACACTTATTATCTAAAACTTTTTATGGGTCTGGTATTCGGGAGCGGCTTAGCTAGTGGCTCTGACTCAGAAGTCCCTCGGGATTCCTGCTTGGGGCTGCAGCCATCAGAAAAGGCTTAACAGAAGCTGAAGAGTCTGCCTCCAAGACGGCTCACTCACATGGCAGTCACCAGGGGAGGCCTCAGTTCCTTCCCACACGGGGTAATCCACAGGCTCCTGGAATGTCCTTATGACATAGCGACTGGCTTTCCCCAGCGCACGTAAATGAAGAGAGAACGAAACAGGCGATGCCCCAGTATATGTTAGGACCTAGCCTTAGAAGTGGCAAACCATCCCTTCCTCTGTGTTCTGTTTGATACATAGACCTGCACTAACTCAGTGTTAGTGAGGATTATACCAGGGCATGGATACCAGGAAGTAGGGCTAAGGCCACGAAGGTTCAGTGACTTATGGGGACTAGTGCTTCCACAATTAGACTTTCGTGTGCATGTCTATCTAGAGGCCTCATCAGCCTGTGGAAACCCATATTACATAATTCTTCGTGATGGATGAGTGGCTTTGTGGCTTTGAGAAGGGTATTAACATCACAAAACATATTTTTAAAAAGATAGCCCTGACGGCACAGCGGGTGAACTAACGTGTGCCCCTACTGCCCGCCGGATGCCCCAGACGGTCATCCAGTTGGCTAGCCTGGCCTTGTAAATTTCACATGTCCTCGGTCTCTTCTGTCCTCGTGTTTTCTCTCTAGCCACTGTGACATTCCCATTGTATCCTGAACCGGCCAGTCACTCCAGACCATGCCCTAAGTAACCTTCCCAGCTCCAATGTCAGACGCTCCACGAAGCTTTCCCCAATCCTGAGACAGCACAAGTATCTCTTTCTAGCATTTTCATAGCACTTTATTCACCTCTCTGTTACAGTATTTATCATACTTTCCTTTCAATAATTCAATTTTGTTTCTTTCCCTAAATATCGTGTGTATCCCTTGAAGGCAGGGACCAACACCTCACACTATGGTTAGGATCCCAGAGCGATCAACAAATGTTTTTTTTTTAATTTAATGAATAGACTTATTTCAATAAATCATATTTCTTTTTTTTTTTGTTAAATTTTTTTTTCAACATTTATTTATTTTTTGGGACAGAGAGAGACAGAGCATGAACGGGGGAGGGGCAGAGAGAGAGGGAGACACAGAATCGGAAACAGGCTCCAGGCTCTGAGCCATCAGCCCAGAGCCCGACGCGGGGCTCGAACTCACGGACCGCGAGATCGTGACCTGACTGAAGTCGGACGCTCAACCGACTGCGCCACCCAGGCGCCCCAATAAATCATATTTCTAATACACTTAGTGAACACTAACCAAGGGAGAGGCCTTGTGCTAGGTCCCAAGTCATATAATAATTACCAGCACGGGCAGGGCCCTACCCTCAGGATACAGAGAGAAGACCCACAGACGTTGGTCTTGACAATGATTATGTCCTTGTTCTCTCTCTTCCCCACTGCATTTTCAATTTTCCTACCTCCTTCCCACCTTTTCCAATTATCCTTTCTCTTCTGACTCTTTCCTAAACACAGCACTGCATACATAGGCATTGCCTGGTCTCTCTGACAGATATCAGACAAATAGTTGGCCATTCCAGGGCCAGGGGCAGAGCCAGGGACAGGTTATGATGTTTATGTTGCTGGCAAACCCCTGTGTATATGAAAATCCATTCATTTCTCAACTCCCACTTAGAAAAGAAAAATGAGGGATGAAACAAGCATTCTCATGTCTGTATGACTCAAATTTTTTATCGTTTTCTGTCTTTACTATCTCAAGTGAATTGAAAGCTCAGTTTTTCTCTCTTAACATGTTGTTTAGAGTAGCATCCATTGTTTTAGTGGAAATGGCATGACCACCTAGATCATAAACTCCATGACTGCAAAAAAAAATGTTGTTTCCTCTTTTCCTTTTAAATTCATAGCTCCTAGAATATTCTTTGACACATAGTGTGTGTTCACTGAACATTTATTAAGTGCATTCCTCGAAGCCATGATTTCTTATCATGCTAAGTTTATAAATGACCTGTTCTCTTTCCCATTACAAATGGCTAGATGGCCTCAGTCAAGACACTTACTCTGAGTTTTCTTTCCTATAAAACAGGGACATCAACAGTTACCTCTCTTACACGAGGGTGTTGTGAGTATTAGAGAAAACTCTTGTAAAGCAGATAGTTCTTTATAGAATAAAACAGTGTCTTTATAGAATAAAACTGAACAAACGGTTTGATGCTGAATCCAGAATCTTTCTGATAATCTTATTTCTCTGAACATGTAGGTTTGGTGAATGCTTATCTCTGATTGGTTATAATCCACTGAATAGATTTGCTTTCCTAAAAGTCAGGCTCTTCATGACTTTTTGAAACACAGCATGTATTCAGTCGATATTAATTAAGTACTTATAATAAAACTGCAGTTATGCTAGGCACTAGAAATACAAAGAAAAACTAACCCATTACCTAAAAACTAGCCCTTTATCTAAACAACTTTATTCTTGGATAAGGAAGACAATATAACAAAAATTACAGAATACTGTGAGATATGCTAAGACTGAAATAGGCAAAGACTGAAATAGACATTTAGGAAGAGCACCCAACCCAGCCTGGGAGGGAGGAATAGCAGAGGTTTTCCAGAGGATCTTAGTTATAAAGGAGTTAGAAAGAGAAGAATTTAGCCAGAGAGGGAAAGGGATGTGCGACATTGGTCCGAGTAGAAAGACGAACCAGAGCAAAAGCATAGGGAGCAGAAATGACATGGTCAATTAAGAGGGTGCAGGAGATAACATTCTGATTAAAACATGGAATGAGAGACAAAATCCGGTCAAGGGCTAAAGTCGTGCAGAGATGCATGGAAGTCAGATCTGACTTTGTATGTGTTTCTGTGATTTTGTATGTGGTGCCATGGATTCTTGACTATGCCCTTGTGGTTTATAGAGAGTCCATGAATAATTTTAAGCTGCTAACCTGGTAAATTGGACTCCATTAAAATTTAGAATATTTTTACCTCATCAAAGTTAAAAACATTTGCACCTCATTTTTTTTAAATAAAAAGGCAAGTCACAGACCAGAAGAAAATATTTGCAAATCATGTGTTTGATAAAGGACTTGTACCCAAATACGTAACACACACTTATGACTCAGTGATAAGACAAACATCCCAATTTAAAAAGGGGCAAAATGGGGCACCTGGGTGGCTCAGTCGGTTAAGTGTCCAATTTCCACTCAGGTTATGATCTCACAGTTCATTGGTTCAAGCCTTGCGTCGGGCTCTGTGCTGAGAGCTCAGAGCCTGCAGCCTGTTTCAGATTCTGTGTCTCCCTCTCTCGGCCCCTCCCCTGCTCATGCTCTGTCTCTCTCTGTCTCTCAACAAAAAAATAAATGTAAAAAAAAAAAAAATGGGCAAAATATTTTTAGTCATGTCACCAAAGAAGATATGCACATAGTTGATTAAGCACATGAGAAGATGCTAAACATCATTTGTCATTAGGAAAATGCACATTGAAACCATAATGACATGCCACTTTACATCTACTAATATCACTATAATCAAAAAGACAGAGAATGCAATACCAAGTATTGATAATGGTGTGGAGGAATGGGAACTCTCATATATTGTTGGTGGAAATGTAAAATGGCATGGATGCTTTGGAAAACATTTAACACTGTCTTAAAAATTTAAACAGAAACCTCCTATATAATAAAGCAATTCAATTCTCAGGAATCTATGTAAGACAAATGAAAGCATATGTCTACACAAAGACATGTCAATGCATGTTCGTAGCAGCATTAGACATAATGGCCCCAAACTGGAAACAATTTAAATGTCCATCAACTGGTAAATGGATTTTTTTTTAAATGTGACATATCCATAAAACGGAATATTATTCAGCAATCAAAGGATAGTACAACCGATGCATGCTGCAACCTAGACCGATCCCCAAAACAAAGTAAGACACAAGAGGCATAATTACCATTTAATTCACTTACATGAAATGTCCAGAAAAAAAAAAAAAATGTGTAGAGAGAAAATGCAAATCGATGGTTGCTGGGAGCTGAAAGTAGAAGCAGGAAGGCCTATATAAAGTGCACAAGAGAAATTTCAGGGGTGATGGAAATGTTCTAAAACTGAAATAAGGTAAAGGTTACATTGCTATATACATTCACAAAAATTTTTGAATTATCTACTTACAATGGGTGAATGCTATGGGACATAAATTATACTCCCATAAAGCTGTTTTTTTTTTAATTTTTTTAATTTTTTTTATTTATTTTTGAGACAGAGAGAGACAGAGCATGAATGGGGGAGGGGCAGAGAGAGAGGGAGACACAGAATCTGAAGCAGGCTCCAGGCTCTGAGCCATCAGCCCAGAGCCCGACGTGGGGCTCGAACTCACGGACCGCGAGATAGTGACCTGAGCCGAAGTCGGACGCTTAACCTACTGAGCCACCCAGGTGCCCCAAAGCTGTTTTTTTAAATAATTACACTACATCAGAAGGTATATGGTCATAAACTAGTTAGTAAGCAAGAGGTCTGCTTATTTTAAAGATATCCTCAGGATTTAAAAACTCTGACCTATTTTCGAATTACTTTTCATCTGGACCCAATCAAAGTAATAGAAAGTTGATTTAGTTAGATTCCCCTAAACATGAACACATCTTCAGTGTGCAGGGAAAAAAAAAAAAAAAAAACAAGTCAGCTCTCACATAACCCAAATTTGTTGGCCCATCTCTAAACATGAGTCATAAAGGCAGTTTCTTCCTTGCTTATGAAAATGTTTGAGGAAAAACTATGTGCTTGCTATAGCATAATTGACCACAGTAATTATAGTTCATGCAAATTTACGTTGTATTTATAAGACTGCTGGATTTGGTAGTGGGAGATTGGGGTGGGGGGGGCAGTCGCTGCTTGAAATCTAAGTCTTTAATCCACAAAAAGCCATACTTTTTTTTTTTTTTTTTTTTGGTCCAAACTGGCAATTATGGGTTGTAGAAGTATTTGTGCTTGTTCAGATGTTCCGTAGCCAAGAATTTGAAGATGTCCCTTTTCTTTTTTTTTTTATTTTTTTTTCAACGTTTATTTATTTTTGGGACAGAGAGAGACAGAGCATGAACGGGGGAGGGGCAGAGAGAGAGGGAGACACAGAATCGGAAACAGGCTCCAGGCTCTGAGCCATCAGCCCAGAGCCTGACGCGGGGCTCGAACTCCCGGACCGCGAGATCGTGACCTGGCTGAAGTCGGACGCTTAACCGACTGCGCCACCCAGGCGCCCCAAGATGTCCCTTTTCTAAGTAAATCCAGTACTGAAGAAAAGTATTAAACTGTCAGATCTGAGAGCTGTAACTATTTTTATGATTCACCATTTCACTGGTAAGGAGGTAAAGACAAGCTCATCTTTTAAGAGAAACCAATTGTGTCCGGCAGTTATTTAGGAAAAACAGTATGATTCCGATTCTTGGAGAAAAGAAGACATTGATTCCACTTATAATTTGGACTCCATCACTTAATTATTAATGATGGTTTCAGAGCTTCTGTTGGCTTACCTAGGGTCACCAATTTGATTTCAAACCAATAATAATAGCACAAAGATCCCTTGGGTTTCTCCGGAGCAACAGAGTGATCACATCTCTTAGGCAATTGCTACTTCAACTATCAATTGTGCCATTTGTTCAAAATCAACATGTCACCGGGGCACTTGCGTGGCTCAGTTGGTTGAGCGACCGACTTCAGCTCAGGTCATGATCTCACGGTTTGTGGGTTCGAGACCCACATCGGGCTTGTTGTTGTCAGTGCAGAGCCCACTTTGCTTCGTATCTTCTCTCCTCCCCTCTCTCTCGGCCCCTTCTCTTGTGCGCTCTCTCTCAAAAATAAAGAAATCTTAAAAAATCAATCAATCAATCAATCAATACGTCACCAAAGCCTTTATTTCAACCCAGATTGGGATCACAAGGTCATAAAGGCATTTACTCTTCTGGGCCTCATCTATACATTACAATATCAAAGTTATAAAGACCAGCTTTCAAGTTTGATATCCTACAACCATTCTGAGACAAGATCATTTCAACTAAGCTCATTTGGTAGACTATGACAGTGAAGGCAGATTACCCTTACATACGATAACTTCCTATGTGCCAAACATTTAATTTTGTTTCTGTTTCTCCAAGTAGGCAAAGAAAACAAAGAAAAGGAGGGTGTTGGGGCAACTGGGTGGCTCAGTCAGTTAAGTGTCCTACTTCAGGATCAGGTCATGATCTCGTGGTTCACGTGTTCGAGCCCCGCAGCAGGCTCTATGCGGACAGCTCGGAGCCTGGAGCCTGCTTTGGATTCTGTGTCTCCCTCTCTCTCTGCCCCTCCCCTGCTTGTGCTCTGTCTCTCACAAAAATAAATAAACATTGAAAAAAACTTAGAAAGAAATGGGGGGGGGGTGTTTAACTGTACATCTAGATCATTTAGTAGCTTATGCCTAGTAATGTTGGAAAAGGAGAGTTTTGCTTTCTTTTTTTTAATGTTTATTTATTTTTGAGAGAGAGAGAGAGAGAGAGTGTGTGCGAGAGGGGGAGGGACAGAGAGAAAGGAAGACACAGAATCCAAAGCAGGCTCCAGGCTCTGAGCTATCAGCAAAGAGCCCGACGCGGGGCTCGAACTCACAAGCCATGAGATCATGACCTGAGCCGAAGTCAAATGCGTAACTGACTCAGCCACCCAGGCACCTGAGTTTTTCTTTCTTAATCAGTGGTGAAAAGAGCCAGGAGAGTATCAAAGCCCCTCATTTCTGGCCCTTTTCCTCCCATCAGAGCAACTAAAGGAGCTTGGCTCACATTTTAAAGGGCAAAATTCCAAACCCTTAAAAAGTTTCCCGGAACCTACATTCAGCTACTCAATCATCCCATCTGCAATCAGGTGACATTAGCCCTGATTGGCACTGAAACATTCGGACCTACATATGACCTGGAACCAGTCACTGCTCCGGCAGGAAGTAGATCAGAGGCACTTGGCTGAGCCAAGTTTTTCTTTGCAGGGCTTAACCCATAGCTCCATTACCCACTCTTCTGTCAGGTTCAATATTGTATCTACACTGACCTCTGGGTGCAGTTCTCTCACTAATCTGAAGCTCATCTGCTGGAAACACTTTGAATTCTTGTCACAACATGCATTTTTAATGTTTTCCTGATGTATGGCGACCTCTGACCCCTCACCCTTTCTAGCCTCTCAGAACTTTACGTCTCTGTACTGTTTTCAGACTCTGCACGCCTGCCATTCGCCCAGGGACCCCATACTCTGTGCTGGCACTAGACCCAGCCTCACCATGCCACAGAGGGACAGGAATGACTGGCCTTGCAACAAGGTGTTGAACTGCCATGTCGCACCACGGCGTTCCAGCCAGCCAGATGCAATTTGGCAACATGAGGCTTTTAATCCAAATTCATGAGTCCCCTGTTGTCAACGTAACGAACGCTTCTTAAAAACCTACTCTCTGCCAGGTATTCCTGTGAAAATTACTACCTACACGTCACTGCCCAAATCCACACCACTCCCCACTCCCACCCCAAGATTTTTCTGGTTTCAGCTGGACCTGAGAAAGAGTTACGAGTGAGGGAAACAGCTGACCCCGAATGCTTTATTCTCTGAAGCATGAACTCAAAGTTTTTGCTTACTTATGAATCATAGTCATGATGACAATATCCTTTGAAGTTATTTTCCTTGAAATGCTAGTAAGAGGCATTTTTCCATCCATCTCACAGGGGTTTTGTGTAAATGAATGCTGTTTCTGGAGTACTTCAAAGGAAGTATAAATGCACAAAGTATTCCTGAGTCTCCTTCCATGATGTTCGCTTCCAAGGCATCTAGATAAGCACCGTCTAATAGAAATGGAATGTGAGCTCCGTATGTAATTTTTAATTTTCTAGTGGCACCATTTAAGAAAGTAATAAGAAACAGGTGAAGTAAATGTTGATAATACATATTTATCTAGTCCTTTGTATTCAAAATAGTATCATTTCTCCTGTCTTTAAAATCTCATGCGTATTTTAGACTTGCAGTACATCTCAGTTCAGAGGACTAGTCATTGAAAGTGCTCAGTAGTCACCTGTGGCTAATGGCTACCACATTAAAATGCTCAGTTAGTGAAAGCCATCCAGAACAAAGCTAGAGACTTGGGAAAATTCTTTTAAACTATTAAGTTTTTGTAATTGACTGAAATGTGCCCAACGGCCATGACAGTAGATCTTCCTTAAAGGTAAGCTATAAATCAGAAGTGATGTTTTCGATTTGTCAGAGCTTACAAAATTACGAAATTGATGAACTTGGTCCAAGGACTTGCTTACGTCTTGTGTAAATGTAAAAGGCTTTCTCTTACAGGTCTGGCTGGGAGAATTTAAGATGTCATAGTTAATTGGGTAAGGATTTTGATGCTAGACTATTCCACTTTTTGAACTGAGCTCTCTCAAAGGCACCCAAATGCGTTCTGATGAGAATCTCTGTATCAGCATCAGAAGACAAGTTAACAAGGCTATTCAAGTTAGACTCCATCCTTTGCCTATGTAGTGGTATGCCTAGAGGCACTGTGCCCTTGGAAAGGTCAGAGACACAGACACGTAGCCTGGAGGACCGGTCTACAATCTCCCGATAATTAAATTTGAAGACATAAAGTTCCTGACCCTGAAAAGAGAAGCCTTCTTCCAGTGAGAAAGAGTTATCTAGTCTCTTCCTGTGTGAGAATGTTTTGCCTCAATGTAAACAAACTAAAGAGTTGAAAAATGAGGTGCAAAAATGCCCTCTTCAGGGTAAACAACAAACCGGTTAGGATATGATTTTCTTGGAATGTGTTGCGAATTCCAGAGGCAGGCTCACACTTGTCAAAGAACAGGCAATCCTTCTGATGGACATAATAACCTCAAGACTTAGTTGGATACATTCATGCATTAAGCTTCCCAAATCCAAATCTGTGCTTACATTTTTCATATTTCTTATGTAACCAGATATTTTCTGCATCTTAATGGAAGAGAAAACAAGGCACAGCAAGTATTTGCTTCGAGAACAACTGGATTCTGAAGACCATTAGAACCAACTTTATTTCGTTGCTTCACTGAACATTACAATCACTTTCTAGCACCTCTGATGCTAGTTTTGTTTTTCCTTTTATGATAACAGAAATCCAACATACTGACTAAAGAAATAAAAGTTTCTGAGACTATTTGAGTAACTTCACACAGTCACGGTAGGGTATGGGTGATTCAGCTACTAAATATCCAGTCACGTAGAAATGTATCCCGTGTTCCTTATATTTCTATCTGGAAAGGCCTTTGTTAATGTTATCCTGCAAGCTTCTTGCACGGCTGGGACTAGGGTGATGCTAGTGACTCACTCACCTCAGGTACAAAATCTAGGAAGGTGCCAAAAACACTCAATTAAAACAAAAAAGTTTTAATGCGACATCTTTAAAAAAAAATTGAAATGAATGTAAAAAAAAAAATAACCCTATAATGAACAAAATATCAAAATCTTACTTACATCAAGACAGACTCTGACCCTGCGCTGGCTTTGCCCCAATTCTGGCCCTGTTCAGGCCCCTGCTTGGGAGGAAGAGGGAGTGTTCTGTCGGTGAGCTTAAGAGAAAAAACAGAGCATGCCCTTCCTTCAAAATCTGCCAGCCTGCCCTGCTTGTCTGTGAGGTCAGTGTGAACCAGGTGGGCCCCCACAAACGAGGGCCTGCAGTTGGCCAGAGTGGCCAGGAACGCCAAAGTACTGGCAGGATTCATGTTCTTGCTACTTCATCACTGAGGCCTCAGATCCTTTAAGCTGCCCACTGTGCCAAACCACGCGGTCGTCTCTCAACTGTTCACGTGGTAGCAGCTTACTCCTTCAAGGTCAGCGGAAGAGTCTCTCTCCAGTCTGCGAAGACAAAGGATGTGTCTGCGCCTGAGGAAGCAGGATCAGGAGAGCAACGACCCATCACCTTTGCCATTTTCTATTGGTTAGACGCCGGTCACATTCAAGAGGAGGAGATCATACGAGGGCGTAGATCACCAAGGGTCACCCTAAGGCATCTCTGTATAGTAACCAACCGTGTTACAGAGAAATCAAAAAGAGCTTCAGTGAAGCTTGAAAGCACCCTCAGGTCATATGACAAGTAAGGAGGCAGTTCTAGGATGAAGCTCAGTTCTGTCTGAGGACTCCACAGATATCCTGCTAGGCCAGCGTTTTCTAAAATGTCTTCTGTAGAACTCCACTTCTGCAAGATGATATCTGAGATACTTGCAGAGGGGAACTTTGGTATTTATTTATTTTTTTAAACTTATTTTTTTTTTTTTATAAGAGACTTTGGTATTTAAATAGATTTAGAGAACGCTGGGATAACTGAAGTTAAGCAGGGTTTTTATTATTTTTTTTCATTTTTATTTAAAAAAAATTTTTTTAATGTTTATTTATTTCTGAGACAGAGAGAGACAGAGCATGAGTGGGAGAGGGGCAGAGAGAGAGGGAGACACAGAATCTGAAGCAGGCTCCAGGCTCTGAGATGTCAGCACAGAGCCCGACGCGGGGCTCGAACTCACAGACCGCGAGATCACGACCTGAGCCGAAGCTGGATGCTCAACCGACTGAGCCACCCAGGCGCCCCAAAAAGCAGGGTTTCGTCTAGCACTTTTGTTGTAAATCCCCCACTTCCAAACTTCCGATTTCCCATCAATGTCTGAAGAGGATAAAGAAGGGTGAGCTTAACCTTGAAAGAGAACAGACTATCCCACACATCTTCAGGCAGAGGTACTATTACTGAAACAACTACTGAACGGTTCAGATCCAAATCTCTTGATTCCAGATCCAAATCTCTTGATTCCACGTGCTAGACGTCACGTGGCATCGTGTGTTAAAGAAAAGGAGTGGCTGATTTGCTAATCAGTCATTCTCTAGCAATATTCGTATCTGAAAATGTATCTGGTAATAAATGGGAGAGATCAGAACCTGCAGCTTTGATGGTATTCTTCCTGAAGTTACCAAAATTGCTTTATTTTATTTATTTTATTATTTTTTTTTTTCCATTTTGCTACAGTCTCTTCCTTTCTTCCTGACTTCCTTCGCCTGGCTATCCATTCCCTGAGATTTGCTTTCTTGAAGGGACGAGGATGCTGCTAGCTGATGGCCAGGAAGTAGATGTCACCCTCCATCGAAGGTCAGCACAGAACTATAGCCAGCACCACGGGAAGGGGCCCTTTAGCAAGGAAACGAGACCGTGCATTTCTCCAAGGCCATGGGACAACCAAAAATCTTTCAAAGCTGAACAAGAGGAAATATTCCAGGAATGGCTTTGTGGTTGATTGTACCATTCCCACAAAGTCTGAAGGGAATTTCAAGGAACCTGCCCAAATTCTGTCTGTCCATGTAAAAACTGTTAACCTAATCCTTTGTTTCTTCATTTCTGCATTAAGACCAGCGTCAAAAGGAGAACATAATTGGGCAGTGAGAACTGCAAAAGGAATGAACTGAGTTTTAACCAATAACTGAATAAAACTTAATAGTACACATACATAAAATGATTTTTAGGTTCTTATTTTTTAAACAAACATGGACATTTTTGGAGAACTTCCAGAAATAATCTTTCGCAGAAGTGATGGGGGTCGATAACAGTTTACAATATTAATCTGACCCTTTTATTATTATTGTTATTTGTGTCAAAATCTCCTTGCTCTAGACTGTATTCTCTTTAGTTACTGCTTTTGATCTGCACTGGATTGTTTGCCTTTTTTTCAGTTAATGGAAGGAATTCTATGCATGAAATGGTACAAACTAAGGTCAGATATCTGTGGCCAGAATGTCAGCAGGAACCCATGTCCTGGACTGTGAGGGGTAAATCACCACTGGTCACAAAAGAGAGAGAGAGAGAGCTTAATTGAGAATTGGTTTTCTGTTTTCCTGAAGGAAGAGAATGGTGTTTTTCACATGTATATTTCCACTTAAGAAAAAAGCAATACAAGTAGCAGTTTACGATCTCCCTAAACATTGGATTGTCTTTCTTTACCTCCATTTTAAAAGCAAAAACACTTTTTCTTCACCTGGTTAACCCCTGAGTTTCTGTCTTCCTTCTCCTTAAAAAGAGGATTTTTTTTTACACCCTGTGTTTATATAATTTGAAGACTAGTTAGTATTCCGAACTTCCGTCTTGTTGCTGTCCTTTACCACCTACTAATGAGAATTATTCTTGAATAATTGCGGCCAGAAAACAAGATTCTACTTAAGACCGGGGAAGGTTAATTCCAGTTAGCGTAAAGGTCAGGAATTGAATTTATGGTGTTACTGTATTCAGCTACGAAATAATCAGGAAAAGCCACAGCTTTTTCTATGGGAACTCAGATTCCATGTGTATTAACTCTAGCCATACTCCTTGAAGAGGCTGGACAATCAAACAACAGTGAGTCCTGGAAAGGACTAGGACAGCATTAATAGGAGTTAGAAACAATATATCATGTAATCCTTTAGACTGGGGGTCAGCAAACTTTTGTAAAAAGCCAGATAATAAATACTCTGGGCTTTGTAGACCACATCCAGTGTCTGTAGCATATTGTCCTTTGTTTTTCTTACCACACTTTAAAATTTAAAAGCCATTTTTAACTCTTATACTGTACTCAAACAAGCCACATTTGGCCTAAAGGCTATAGTTTGCTAATTCCTGCTTTAGTCCATTTATATTCATTAAAATAAATTCTTTTTTTTTATATAGATTTAAAACTCAAGGCTCCTAGTTGTTTAAAAATAGCTCAATAAAGTAATGGGTCCAATGTGATAAAAAATTTCACGTTGTACAAATATAATCCAAGGTGTCAAGTCAAAGGGGCTGACTTACTTGCCAGTTTTTATTTTCTTTTACTACCTCAAAAACAAAATTAAACTTAAGAAAACTATTGTAGAGTCTAATTAAAATTGTGTAGCTTTTCAAATAGGAAATTTTCTTCTTTAATATATCTGTCTAAAATTCATGAATTGTACGTTCAAAGGCCAAAGCTGCCTAATATCGCCTTAGCTGCCAAATTATGTTTCCCATAAATACCAAGATAATGTTAATTCTTGGGTTAGTTATCAAAAAGGAGGAGGAGGAGGGGGAAGAGAATGAGAAAACTATATATGTAATGTTGTAACCGCTAAGTTAGAAACATAACACCAGTAATTAATAACAATTCAGTTGACCAGGTTAGCTTTCAAAACACAATTGATAAAAAGCAAAAACTTACTTTTCCTATGGAAAAGTAGTCAAAGACTAGTTACTTAAGGTGACTCTCCCAAGAGGCTGATCAAGCTAAGATTAGTCTTATATTGTGGAGTGGGGGGTGCAGCTGATCTTGGGAATACAGAACCAACTGTCTTTCTCTGTAATTTCTTTGCAGTACCTTAATGTCAGGGAGGAATACTTCTACATTTTACATTTTATATTATGCCCACCTCAAACACCTGATTACTTTAAAGTCTTTAGGTGAATTGTGAATTCTACCCTATAATATAGCCACATCATTTTTATATCAGAGAATAGGAGATTGGTTAAATTTCTCCAGGCGCTACTCAAGTTCCCAAATGCCTACCCACGTCTACCTTATAGGTTCATCTGCACCTCCTGTGGAGTAACTCTGTTCCCATGTGGGCTTCCCAGGAGCCAACGGAAATGAACTAAAGAACTTCCCTTTCCAAAGCTCACCTTTCTGCCACAGTGACTGAGTCTCCTGTTAGGGACTCCCAGCTCTGAGCTAAGGCTTTTGGATAGGACAAGAGAGAGGACAAAAGCCAGACACCAGGCTTTCTGGAATGTGCCTAAGTCAAGATTTGCATATATCAGAGAATATTTTAAATGTGCCAGAAAACTGCTACTTAAAAGACAGAAACTAGAAGTCTCTTGGTAAAAATTACTTTTTAAAAAATGTTTATGTTTTGACTTGTTGATTTTACGGATTTTGAGAAAGAGAGACGGGGGAAGGGCAGAGAGAAGGAGAGAGAGAATCCCAAGTAGGCTCCACACGGTCAGCACAGAGCCCGACTTGGGGCTCGAACTCACACACCATGAGATCATGACCTGAGCCCAGGTCAAGAGCCCAAGGCTTAACCGACTGAGCCATCCAGGCGCCCTGCCAGAAGTTCATTTTTTTACCACAGATTTTTATGTTGCTTACAGTACAAAATTACCTACTTAAGATTATACTATAACAATGACAGGAATACTGTATTACCACCCACTTTACAGATAACGGAGTTGCAGAGAGGGCAAGTGACTAACTTCCGGGTAGTCCCGGGGCTGGGATATACCAGAGACCAACTTGAACCCAGGCTGTTTGACCCCGTAGCCTGTTTTAACTCTGTGCTCTTCGTGATGCTATTCTGACACAGAACGACATTAAAAGGAAAACACTTCTTAGCATTTTAGCAACTTCTTACGGTTCTGCTTTATGCTGAAATTAGCCCTACTTCTATTTAATAACCCCATCACTGATTACTATCGTAATGCCAGCTGAAATATTATACTATAAAGAGGAAAGAAAATGAGTACTCCTAGCTCTTCGCTTCCTATGGATCATTTATGCTGGTAGAATCTAAAGCATCACTCCATTAGCTTGTACTTAATAGCAAATCGTTTGGGGCCTGCACAGCCCCTAGCGATTTCACCAGCCACCCTCTGTGCTTCCATTTGTTAATGTTCACCTGCTCCCCCTCATTAATATGCAAACATGCAGTGACTTCGGTTTATTCCCAAAGCCTCGTCTTGACATGAAGTCATCTTTTCTCTCCGTGTGCTTCTTGGAGAGGCCATTATCTGAACTCAGAAATGTCCTGTAGCAAAATAGCTTTTTCTGAGGAATAGAAACATCTCATAACCCTGACGACAGAAACAAAAGGCATCATTGCCTGATAAAATGGCA